TTGTGTGATGTCACATGATGTCACGGCAGGACTTTTCCCTGATCTTTGTCTGTCAGGAGCAGGAACAGAACCAGGCTCTACACGGTCTGTTCTGGAGTGGACGCTCTATCACACACACACACACAGGCGCAGACACACACACACAGGCGCAGACAAACACACACACACACACACAGGTGCAGACAAACACACACACACACACACAGGCGCAGACACACACACACACAGGCGCAGACACACACACACACACACACACAGGTGCAGACAAACACACACACACAGGCGCAGACAAACACACACACAGGCGCAGACAAACACACACACACAGGTGCAGACAAACACACACACACACACAGGTGCAGACAAACACACACACACACACACAGGTGCAGACAAACACACACACACACACAGGCGCAGACAAACACACACACAGGCGCAGACAAACACACACACACACACAGGTGCAGACAAACACACACACACACAGGCGCAGACACACACACACACAGGCGCAGACAAACACACACACATACAGGCGCAGACAAACACACACACACACAGGCGCAGACAAACACACACAGGTGCAGACAAACACACACACACACACACAGGTGCAGACAAACACACACACACACACAGGCGCAGACAAACACACACACACACACAGGTGCAGACAAACACACACACACACACACACAGGCGCAGACACACACACACACATACAGGCGCAGACAAACACACACACAGGCGCAGACAAACACACACACATACAGGCGCAGACAAACACAAACACACACAGGCGCAGACACACACACAGGCGCAGACACAGACACACACAGGCGCAGACACACATACACAGGCGCAGACACACACACAGGCGCAGACACACACACACACACAGGCGCAGACACACACACACACACAGGCGCAGACACACACACACACACAGGCGCAGACACACACACACACACATACACACAGACGTAGACACACACACAGGCGCAGACACACACACATACACACAGGCGCAGACACACGCACACACAGAGGCGCAGACACACACACACAGGCACAGACACACACACACAGGCGCAGACAAACACACACAGGCGCAGACACAGGCGCAGACACACACACACACAGGCGCAGACACACACGTACACACAGGCGCAGACACACACACAGGCGCAGACACACACACACAGGTGCAGACACACACACACAGGTGCAGACACACACACAGGCGCAGACACACACAGGCACAGACAGACACACACAGGCGCAGACAAACACACACACACACAGGCGCAGACAAACACACACACACACACAGGCGCTGACACACACACAGGCACAAGACACACAGGCACAGACACACACACACAGGCGCAGACAAACACACACACACACACAGGCGCAGACAGACACACACAGGCGCAGACAAACACACACACACACACAGGCGCAGACACACACACACACAAGTGCAGACACACACACAGGCGCAGACACACACACACAGGCGCTGACACACACAGGCACAGACACACACACACACAGGCGCAGACACACACAGGCGCAGACACACACACACACAGGCGCAGACACACACACAGGCGCAGACACACACACACACACAGGCGCAGACACACACACACACACAGGCGCAGACACACACACAGACAGGCGCAGACAAACACACACACACACACAGGCGCAGACAAACAAACACACACACACAGGCGCAGACAAACACACACACAGGCGCAGACACACACAGGCGCAGACACACACACACACACAGGCGCACACACACACACACAGGCGCAGACACACACACACACAGGCGCAGACACACACAGGCGCAGACACACACACACACACAGGCGCACACACACACACACAGGCGCAGACACACACACACAACACAGGCGCAGACACACACACACACAGGCGCAGACACACACACAGGCGCAGACACACACACACACACAGGCGCAGACACACAAACACACAGGCGCAGACACACACACACACACACAGGTGCAGACACACACACACACAGGCGCAGACACACACACACAGGCGCAGACACACACACAGGCACAGACACACACACACAGGCGCAGACACACACACACAGATGTGGGGGATAAGGGAGCTGCCGGAGGTTGAGGAGACAGAGATGACAGAAACAGCAGATTATGAAGAGCAGATATTTCCTCCTGAGACTAACTCAGGATTTAGGACTAAACAGGAGCAAGATGTGTTTCACTTTGTTTAAACCAGCTGTGGTAACTACGGTAACCGGGCTAACATAAATTGCTGCATTTGAATTTTACATTAAAAAAAGAAAATAATGCGTGTGAAAAATAAGAACTAAAACCAAACTGCTTTGAGAGAAACTAGTAAGTGGTTAAAAAGTAAAGTCCCCCAGCTTTACCGTGACCTTTGAACTGTGCCATCTGAATAAAACCTCCTGACAGCCGTAACCATGGAGCTACTCGGCTCAATCCTCCGCTGTAATTGGCCGGACCTGATTGAGTGACAACTGTCGGTCTCCACGGAAACGATCGATATCACTGTAAAGAGGAGAATAGACGCACAGGGACCATCAACACACAGGGACCATCAACACACAGGGACCATTAGCACATGTACCTGAACTATCTACACAGGTACATATAGACACAGAGACACAGGTACATATAGACAACCTTTGTTTAAACTCGTACACAGCACCAAACTGTGGAGGTCTTTTCTGCTGTTTTAGACACTCACACTGTACATGTACTGTGGTCCTCATACAGATGAAGTGTGTATAAGTAATAGTACTCGAGTAGAACCAGGAAGTATGATTACGTTCAGTTCTCAGGTCTCTGCACTGGCCTCGAACCAAAGTACATCTGTTGGTGTCATATGAACCAACTCTGAGGAGCACAGGGACTGGCCTCCTGCTGGGACTTTGAGGAGCACAGGGACTGGACTCCTGCTGGGACTCTGAGGAGCACAGGGACTGGTCTTCTGCTGGGACTCTGAGGAGCACAGGGACTGTCTTCTGCTGGGACTCTGAGGAGCACAGGGACTGGCCTCCTGCTGGGACTCTGAGGAGCACAAGGACTGGTCTCCTGCTGGGACTCTGAGGAGCACAGGGACTGGTCTTCTGCTGGGACTCTGAGGAGCACAGGGACTGGCCTCCTGCTGGGACTCTGAGGAGCACAGGGACTGGCCTCCTGCTGGGACTCTGAGGAGCACAGGGACTGGCCTCCTGCTGGGACTCTGAGGAGCAAAGGGACTGGTCTCCTGCTGGGACTCTGAGGAGCACAGGGACTGGTCTCCTGCTGGGACTCTGAGGAGCACAGGGACTGGTCTTCTGCTGGGACTCTGAGGAGCACAGGGACTGGCCTCCTGCTGGGACTCTGAGGAGCACAGGGACTGTCCTCCTGCTGGGACTCTGAGGAGCACAGGGACTGGTCTTCTGCTGGGACTCTGAGGAGCACAGGGACTGGACTCCTGCTGGGACTCTGAGGAGCACAGGGACTGGTCTCCTGCTGGGACTCTGAGGAGCACAGGGACTGGTCTCCTGCTGGTCCCATGTTTCTGGTCTTGCCTTATAGCACAGTTCATATGTGATATACAAAAAGCTGCTTATTAACTCAAATCTATCCATTCTTCTGCAAAATGAATAATGTCAAATTCTTTTGAATAAGTTTAAAATCATATTTGCAAAAATCGCAATTCTCACTTTCATCAAAGTCGACCTCGTGTTACATCACCGCGGATAATGGAGGAGGAAGGCTGCTCCCCCTCTTCCCCCCTCTCTCTCCCCCTCTCTTCTCTCTTTTTTCCCACATGCGCGCTCCCGTCTGCCCGCCCGTGCACGCGCCCTGTCCTCCTCCACTCATCCTGTAATGGCTGCCACTGCTCATTGTTCACATCCTGCTTTGTCTCCAGCGCCATTTTGACTGGACTGCCTTCATACGCACACACACACACACACACACACACACATACGCATACACGCACGCACACACACATATACACGTGCCCACCCGCACACGCGCGTACGCACACACACATATACGTGCACACACACACAAAGGTAGGTTTTGGAATGTAATATTAAAATTGATGTGGATAATTCATGGAAACGTGTGATTAAAAAAACTCAAATTCTCCGTAACATAGGCTGAATGGCGTCGGTTTGATTAAAATGTTTTAAAGCAGTAAAGTGTGTGTTTCTGGAGGAGGATTCTGGTTTGTGTCCACACAAGACAAAGACCGTAACGGCAGATCCAGCCGCTAATGATCCAACAGTTTATGTTGAATTGTGGGAAAAATAAACTGGAAACACTCAGAAATAACGGAATAATCCCAGTTAAAATACAAATATATTATGTACCTAATTATAAGGGCGCGTGGCCGTGTGTAAAACCGGCCGCGCGAGCAGCGGTTTGATAATATTAGAATTGTAAAAATATAAAATAATAATATAATTACAATCCAATGAATCAAATACAAACATATATAATTAATAAATAAATACATTTGACTTCTGAGCGATTGGACAAAGCCCTGAGCGCGTGCGTGAGAGTAAATGTGTAATGAAAACTCCGTGGGCAACAGCATTAATGTTTGTGTTTTATTCTTCTTCTTCTTCCACTATGAAAATATATGTACAATAAATAATTTGGATTTTCACTATTAAAGGATCTGAATAAATAACGGGCCAGTTCCTGAGAGTATCCTTAAGCTGCACGTGACGCATCTATGTAGTGGTGGCGTCTCCAGAAGTAAACAAGTAAACAAACAAGTAAACAACGAAGTAAACAACGTGTCCAAGCAGAGAACGTACGCGTCCACGTGTCCAAGCAGAGGACGTGCGCGTCCACGTGTCCAGTGTGGAACAGCAGAAGTTTCATCTTCAAACTAAAGAAAGAATCAAACATGAGTCTGAGACCGAGGTCCCTGTCCACGCGCGTGCGTGTGCGCGCCTGTCAGAAGTTGAGATGCTGCAGGTCTATGGTGCACAGTGTGCGCGTGAACAGGTCAAAGTCCTCCTCCGTGAAGTCCACGGGACTGTCCAGCCCCGGGGACAGGCACGTGTCCGCGGACAGGAAGGTGAGCTCCGGGAGCACCGCGGAGGAAGCACTGCTCTCTGCGGGATGGAGGGAGGCGTCTGCGGGCAGCAGAGACACGCTGTCTTGGTTCGAGAGAGCGGAGTCTCCCAGAGCAGAGTCCCGGTGTGAGAGCGCCGTGTCCGCGGGCAGCAGAGTAGTCCTGTCCTCCCCCGCGGCCGCAGGCGGTGGGCGGTCAGCCACAGCGTGGCCCTGGCGGCCTGGGCCCTCCTCCGGTGTGGGCTGTGCTTTGTCCCCGCTGTCAGAGGCGTAGGTGGCGGTGGAAGATGGATTACTGCTGCCGCTCAGCTCCGCGTCAGACTCCGCAGTGCCCGCCGCCTCGAGCGGCGGGCTGGAGTACGGAGAGGACGCGTCTGCCGCTTCCAGAGGCTCGAAGCCCGCGGCCTCTCCCGCCTCCGGGCCTCCTCCTCCGCTGTCCCGATGCGTGGTCTGCCGCTTGTGTTTCATGCGGCGGTTCTGGAACCAGACCTTGACCTGTCGCTCCGTGAGCTCCAGCAGCGCCGCGATCTCCACCCGCCGCGGGCGGCACAGATACTTGTTGAAGTGAAACTCTTTCTCCAACTCCAGCAGCTGCGTGTTCGTGTACGCGGTGCGCAGCCTGCGGGAGCCTGCGCCCGCTGCATCCAGCCCCGAGCCTCCATCTACAGACACACACAGAGAGAAAAGAGAGTGTTAGCAGTGCTTCTAAACTCTCATGCACAGTAATAAAGCCTCGCGCTCCTCAGCACATTACAGTCAGACTGTAGCACGAGTGGATTTGTGGGAAAAAACAAACGCAGATAAAGACGGATGAGGAGCATGAAGCATCACACACACTCACACACATACACACACACATAGACACACCACACACACACACACACACACCGACACACACACACAACACACACACCACACACACTCACACACCGACACATACACACAACACACACACACACACACACACACACACACACACACACACATACACACACACACACTGAGCTGAATAAATAAATCAGAGCAGAGAGAGGAAATGTGTGCAGAAATGTGGGATGTCACGTCACGCTGAAGCTTGTTCTCGCGCACGGATCAGAGAGAGCCGCGCGCACACGCAGTGGGGGGTGACGCTGATGATGGAGTCTGTGCAAAAATATGAAATGACACTTTAGGACCGAGCACCGCGCTCTGCAGAACCCGCGACTGCTGCAGTGATCTGGGGCCCGCTCCACCCAACCCCCACTACGCTCCTCCAGCATCCAATATGGCTCCCACCTCCACTGTGTTATGAATATATAATAGATACTGCTGCTGCTGCTGCTGCTGCTGCTGCGGCTGCTGCTGCTGCTGCTGCTGCTGAAGCCCCTATAGCAGCCAATAGTCATTTCTATCACATACTTCTACCCAATACTTTAACAAAGCGCCTAAACTGAGAGAGAAGTGCGTGTAATTTGACTGCGGAGCTATGATGTAATTATTAATATATATAAATTTGACAACTGCAAGGTGATGTCACATGAAGCCCAGATGTTGTAACCATTTTAAACACATGTAGTTTAAATGTTGCACTTTCAATCTGAACTCATTAAGCTTTTCATTTGTGCTAATTGGATTATGGCATCAGTCATAACAGGCCTCATCTGAGCGGCCGCTGCTAACGCTGAAAAACAGACGCAACGCATTTGTATTGTTTTGTTTTTACGCACAGATATGAACGCAGCAGTGACTGAGGGTGCACTGTCCTCGCGCTGATTATCTTACGTTATAATTATTAATGATGAGTGTAATGAACGTGGGGGTTGGTGTGTATGACATGGAGGAGACATGGAGGAGAAGTGGAGGCGAAATCACGCACTGCGCCACGCACTGCAGAGAGCGTGGAAAAGAACGCACGAAGCGAAGCTAAAAAAACACCAAATGAATGGACTGTGGATCATCCAGGCACATGTACATACGGACCTGTGGGCGAGTCTGCAGCCGAAGCGGGGTACCCAGAGGCGGTGGGCGAGGGGGAGCAGGACACCGGGGGGAGGACGGCCCCGTTGGAAGCCGCGCTGTTACCGACGCCACCGCTGCTGCTAACGCCAGGTTTTGTGCACTTTTTGGATGACTTCTTCTCCTTCATCCATGGGAACTCGCACAGGGCCGGGGTGGAGATGATGGAGGCAGCCGGGATCGGGGCCTGTCCCTCCGGGTACTGGCGGTGGTGTGCGCTCTGGAGGCCATTGCTGACTGCGGTAGAAGCGGCGGTAATCCTGCGGTTGTTGTGAGAGCTCCTGGCTGGTCTCGCCGCGCACGACGCAGGGCTGAGGCTGGGGATGGTGTGCTCGAAGGGAGGAGGAATTGCTGTCTGCTCCTTGATTGATGAAGTTTGAAATGACTCCAGTGCGGCGGGGAAGGTCGTCAGGCACTCGGCGAGGGACGGCTGGCTGTTGATAAACCCGATCTCCCTCTCAAATTCAAAATTCATAGCTCCCAGTGAAAAGGAAAAAGAAAAAAACAACAACAACAAAGCAGAGAGACACCAGCAGCGGAAAGATCTGCTTCTCTCCAAAAAATAAAAAAAACAAAACACACTTCCACATAGACACACAAAAAAATCACGCAGACTCCCCCCTTTCCAGGGCCAGCCAGCGTGCGCGCGCCCTTCTCCTTCTGCCCCCCCGAAACACAAACACACAACACAAGAATAGCTTAATCTTGCGTTGCGTAAATGTATAATAATTGTGAATATTACTTGCGTATGGGGACTATGGCTAAAGTGAGCGGCTATGGGGCGAAATTGCAGCCAATTCCTGGTCACGTGACGCCATGCAGCCAATAGCCGCGCGCGACAGGCCTTGGATATAGCATGTATGTGGGAAGATGTGGACTTTCTGCAAGCAAAAAAGGGGGTATACGATTTTTTTTTTTTTTAAAAGGAGCCATGGCTATTGTTGAGGCGCGTTTAGCTCCGGGGGGTTTGGGGAGAGTGGGGTGGAGGCCCGCCCGCCATGTGCCCAGTGTAGGCGGATAGAGACGTGGATGGCATGGGTCTGCATGGGTCTGTGGGATTTGGTCCACGAACAATGGAGCGTGGTTGTTTCTTTGGCCAGTGGAGGTGATGCAAGGATTGTGGAGTGTTTAACATTGGGCCCGTTTGCAATATGGCGCTGGAGGTTTCATTTACATACAGTTTAACATATTAGTTTAAAGCCATAGATGCATCTTTACATGAATAAGCATTGTTTCGGTTCTGATTGGGTTGATATTGAGTGTGCATAAACTGTCACTAATCCACATGTTGTAAAAGGAAGGACACAGATAGTCAACAAAAACAAGAAGACTCTAGTTTGTGGTTATGTTCTGGGACTAAGGAGGACATTCTGAGGCTAAAATACGTGAGCTAATATAGTATTTTTACCACAATGGATTTACAGACTGTACAATAGATCTGTCTGAGTGCACTAAGTTAGTGTATTATAGAAGTATGTATTAGTTTTGTATGGATGGGTGTTTTTCTGAAGCCACGGGGACCAATAAAGTATTTACCTATCTATATTTATGTCTATATTTACCAATCTATAATTATCTGTACCCATCTCTCTACTAACATTGCTGTAATCCCATGTTGATTGAGTCCTTGTCTCCATGATAAAAGATACATAAAATATGGCCACATTATCTCAAGGTTGTAAAAAAATAGAAATAAAAACACTCGTCAAATATGACGTAAATCCAGAGTTAAATGGTTGGCGTTGGACAAACACTGGACACAATCAGCTCAAACGCTGTAAATCTTTTCATTCATCAAAGTTGGGACTAAAAACTACAAACTTGAGTGCGTTAAATTAAATCCCATCACTTTACGCAGAAGTATATTTCATCCAAACGCGTAAATCTATTAGCACACGTTAGCACGCAGTAGCACGTATTAGCACACGTTTGCACGCAGTAGCAATGGAGTATAGTGCAAATATTACTTTTGTGTGAGAAACATCGTACGTAGCAGCTGCCGTTGAATCTAGCGTCACTTCGCGGTCACGTGGTGTCCATAACAACGCAAAACAAAACACACAACATCAGACTGAAGTAAAAGTGGATATTTCTCATTATTTAGTTCAGATTTCGTGTGTAAAAGTCCGTTTCCAAGTCCAGGCCTATAGTTGTGATCATTTGGCACTTCTGCGCATGCGCCTGGATGGTCTTCATAACTTTGTGACTTGATTTGTTTCTACGTGTAGCTCCATTGTATGATTTATTTATACCAAATATATTATAATTAGTTCTACCATTAACTTGAGTGCTCGTCACCATAGCAACGCACTGTTTACTGCAGTATCAGCATTAAAGTAATCAAATCCCTTATAAGTGACTTTCCTTTGAATCTGTCGAGAGAATGGGAGCAGTCAAAATGACGGCTCTGGGAGTTCTAGTGGTTTCAGATTTCTCACAGATGTTTGGTTTCTTTCTATTTTCTTGTGAAGTTATTGTTTTGAGCCCAACTGGAAAGAAACAGTTTTATATTTTTGTGTATTTATATTTGCCACATTTTGAAACGTCACTGCGTAGATCCATGACGTAAACTGCTGCGTCACATTCCACTGAAAACACAAAGCTCAATTATTTTTATTTACAAAACTTCAACAAGTCAAACACATTCTGAGTTTGTAGGTTCTGTGTAAAAGGCCGGTCCCAAAACTATAATTTCTCCCAAAAGCTGATTTTTTTATGTTGTTTTAATTTCCGCTGAGCTTCTATAATGTTGTGTTGTTAAAGCGCGGACTCAAAAATAAAAAAAATACACAAATGAAAAAGTCCTTTACAAAAACAGCACATTTCTCCAACATCTTTTATTGGCTGTTAATGTTTAAGATTATTAAAGGAGTGATGATTTAATTGTATGACACTAAAATAGATCTGGCTTTTAAAAAACTAAAGGGCAAACTGTATAATCCTGTCAGATCAGTTTAACGGTACTTCAAATAACTGCAAATGAACTGTCTTTACCCCAAGAGCAGCTGTAGTATTTACCCATAACTAGGCCAATATTGGGAGTTTTTAAATTCAAACAAAAAGCTGCTTGTACAAAACTCTCTTGTTCTGCCTTTTCAGCACTTTCTACTCCTGCGTCCCTGGTGTGAACTTTACGCGCAGCTGCGAAAACGCGTCTTCCTCTTTGGGTTCACTTATAGGTCGCCCGCTCCCCGCGCTCCACATCTTACTCCTGTTTCCCCAAACGCTGAAATAATAATACATTTAAGACAGCGCTGCACACGCGGAGAGAGCCACGGTTCAGGCTGCGTTTGGCTCGGGATATTTTGGGGAGGGCCCGCGGGTGGAAGACATCGGAACGCGGTGATCAATCTTACCCTCCCCGCGCTCGGGCTGACAGCTTCGGCCCCTAACCCAAAATAACGAGCCCCCGACTGCCCTTATATCTCCTCCACCCTGCAAAGTTCACATCAAACCCAACTGGCTTTTTACGCACCAACTATGAACCAAAATCTAACCATAATTACACGTTTTTACGCACGTTTTCACGCTGTTTTCTGTGCACAATAAGCAGAGAATGCGCAGCGGTAATGTGCGTGGGAGTGGGAGGTTTTGAAGCGGAAAAATGTGTGTGGGTTGCGTGTTATAAAACCCCAAAAGATCTGGTGCAAGCTGCTCATTTTGCGCCAAATCCTGGACTCGTGAGTGCGGTGTTTGGGGAAAAGTCTTGCTCGTAGATTGCATCAGAAAAAAGGATTATTTTCGTCTTGATTTGACTTTTCGTGATGACGCAGCAGCTGTTGTTGTTCATGAAGGAACTCTGCCGTCTGAATGATCCACAAGGATTAAGTCTCTTTTGTTTTGTGTCTATTTCAGACTCTTCTTTGATCTCGCATCTGGGATTTGGATTTTACATTTTTTTGAAAACACGCTGTTATTGAAAAGTCCAAATTGTAAGAAAAAATATAAAAGAAAAAGCAAAACCTTGTCTGAGCGCGTTGGCCTTTTGTTAAAACCCTTTACATTTAAACAGTATTTAGATGAATTAATAGATTCATAGATGATTAATTGCAGTTATTTAATTATATTTGTTTTTGTATTGATTTAATTCACAATCTCTGAGGAATTTACAAAGCTGTGGATTCACCAACACAGATTAGAAAATGCAGTGATAAAAAACACTTAAAGGGCAGAAACTAATGTCCATAAATGTTGATAAATATCTTGAATTATTATTATTATCATTATTTACCAAAACGCGCCTAATTAAAAGCCATTGGGCCCGAATATAATTTAAGATATTTATTTTTCATTTTGTTTTAATTTATAATAAAACTATTAGCTTGAATCCAGCCACGTGGGGTCCTGTACGTAACCCAGGTCACGTTCTGCGTCAGATACCTGCGTCTCCAGCGCCTGCTTTTACGAGCCAATAAATTAGCCCCAATCTTGTTTTAGTGCTGTTTTTTATTGTCTGTTAGTCCAGCGGAGATGTAAGGGGAAGCCTGGCTGGTTATTTATGGGCCTGTGATTTATTGCAAGAATTTTTGGAGTGGAGACACGCGCGTTGGACTTGTTTGCAGCGCGGGTTAGGCAAAGAAGTGCACGGATGGAAGAAGGGTCAGGAGCCAGAGCCAAAGCATGTGATCAGTCCTAGAGAGTCCAGAGAGAGTCCAGGGAGAGACCAGGGAGAGACCAGAGGAGCGGGCCCGAGGCTTTGTCAACAGCAGGAGTGAGTGTGGAGGAAGGAGCGTGGGAAAGAAGGAGAGAAATCTGACAATACTGTGAATGGACAGGGCCGGAGCGAGCGTGTTGGGGGCCAGGGCGGTTCGAGGGCCCCAAAGGGAAAAATAAATAACAACAAAATATACTGTAAAACAAAATACTGCACTGCGTTTGGAGAAAAGTGGTGAGCAGTGAACACAGATGTTTTAACAATGCGCGAAACAAACATAGACAAGAAATAACTGTAACAAGTTTGATCAGGGTTTGTAGACGCTAAATAATGTGAACCATTTATCTAAGCATAAAAACATTCATACCAACTAACTTTAACTTAAATGTATAACAAATCTGACGTTCAGTGGATTAAAAACAGTCCAAAAGAGAACTGGGGCGTCCTTCATAATCCAACAAGTTTACGATGTTTCTTTGGTCAAACCGGGACCAGTTTCATGTTGTAGAATTCTATGGAACGATCACAGTTTGATGGCGATGAGATTCACAAATACTACTTCTGTGGAAACAGTCGGTCTGGGCCTTTCTGAGCAGAGTTTGCCTGGATTTCCCTCAGGCGGGTGAAGAACGGGTCAAATGCAGACGTTTAGGACGAATATGTGAAAGTTAAAAACATCAGGTCAGAGTTGATTTGGAGCTGTTTGTGTTTCTTGTGGATTGTTCTGAGATTAACAGAGAAATGAGCTCAAGCTGAGACGTTTTGACAGTTGCCACAATAAAAAATAATGTCTTAACACTAGGACTCCCAGAGCAGTCAAT